GTTTTGAAAGGATATCTATAATAGATTTAGGTATTTCATTAATATTGAATGTATTTAAAACTAATGGGTTCCAAAGGAAATGGATCCCAAAGGAAACTGAACAGTTAAAACATGCTTTATTTCTGCAAATATTAACTCAGTGAAAAATCCCAGGGAATCTGCACATTTGTATATTCTATCTAACAATTATGTTTTTTTTAGAGTGTGTTTTGATCAGACTGTCTTTTGATCACAGTTTTGTGACCACTGTTTTCCCTCTCTCTGGCAGTCATTTCCCAGAATTGACAAGGAAGTCATCCTCAGGTGATTTCTGCTAAATAAATCCTAGCACTTTTTGACACTTTAGAAAAGGTTTGGAATAATTTTATATTAGCATTTCTCACCTGCATATTTTTACATGTAGATACAAGTTGCATATTCATTACTTTGAAAGAGAACCATGATAAAATTTTAAGAAACATGGTTTTAGAAGTCCAGTGGTGGTATAAGACTTCACAGAAAACAGACTGCTCTTGATTTAGTACTTCCTACTTACTCCCCAGACACAGCCAACTTCAAAATTTTTTACTTTAAAAAATGTATTTTTATATTTCAAAATAATATGTTTGTGTGACTTGTCTTTCCCCCATCCTGCCCCACTCTTCCTTTACCTGCTTCAGAAGCATTTAAAATTTTCTGCATCTCCTTAGCATATACCATTCCAATCATGAATCTTTGGGTAGGCTTTTTTAAAATTTGTGCTTTTAATGAACCATTAGTGGTACATGTCTGTTTTTCTTGTTAATTCTTGGGAATTCCTTTGTATGGTTTCTGTAATAATTTTCTTCCTCTTCAGCTTCCCTGTTTCTTCTGGATCTCTTGTTAGATATTGAACCTCTTGAGCTGATCTTCTAATTTTTTTTTTTTTTTTTTTTTTTTTTTTGAGACGGAGTTTCGCTCTTGTTACCCAGGCTGGAGTGCAATGGCGCGATCTCGGCTCACCGCACCCTCCGCCTCCTGGGCTCAGGCAATTCTCCTGCTTCAGCCTCCTGAGTAGCTGGGATTACAGGCACGTGCCACCATGCCCAGCTAATTTTTTGTATCTTTAGTAGAGACGGGGTTTCACCATGTTGACCAGGATGGTCTCGATCTCTCGACCTCGTGATCCACCCGCCTCAGCCTCCCAAAGTGCTGGGATTACAGGCTTGAGCCACCGCGCCCGGCTTGATCTTCTAATTTTTATCATCTTCCTCTTTCATTTTTTAAAATTTTGTGTTTAATTCTCTGGTATCTAACTCAACTTGATTTTCTATCTTTCAGGTGACATTCTTTTCTTTTTTTTTAAAGGCATTTTTTTTTCAGTTTATTTGATGTATTTGACGATCAGTGATTAGTTCTCATCCATATTGACTGTCTGTAGATTTTTGAAAGTGGTAACAGGTACATAGGTAACCAAAGTATAGAGCTTATTTGGTGAATTTTCCTCCTCATTATGTTTTCTGGACAACCGCACACGGATTCAGTATGGGACATTCCTTATTCCTTTGGCCCAGACAGCTTTGTTGAGCCTGGTATCAATGCGCACATCTGGAGTTCCCATCTACTTCACAGCAAATTTCCAAATCTCTTTGAGTGCCCGAGGGCCACGCTTCTTGAAGCCCACTCCATGGATGCGCTTGTGAATGTTGATGGTATATTCTCGGGTCACCACCTTGTTGATGGCAGGACGGCCCTTTTTGTTCTCACCACTCTTCTTTGCAGGAGCCATTCTGCCGGGTCCGAGACAGAAAGCCAGTTGACATTTTCATATGCTTTCACTTTCCAGTTGTCAAAACCATTCTCCTGACCTTGCCCTTGCATTTCGTTTTCTCTGCCCTCCTCCTTGATTCTCCCCATTGCCGCCTGGTATTTTGGTTTCTTAATTTCATTTTATAGGCTTTCTTCAAAGGCCTGGTGATCATTTGCTGTGTGCTTATATATTTTTTATTTTTTCACTGGGTGAAATAAATGTAACATAAAATGTATCATATTAGCTATTTTAAGTGTACAGTTGGTTGCTTTAACTATATTCATAATGTTTTGCAGTGATTCCCATCATTAATTTCTAGAACTTTTTCATGTGAATCTCTGTTAAACAGTACCCATTAAACAGTAATTCCTGTTTCCTGTCTTCCTCCAGTCCCTGTTAACCACCATTCTACTTTCTGCCTCTATGACTTTGCCTATCTTGGGTACCTCATATAAATGGAATCATACAGCATTTGTCTTTTTGTGTTCGGCTTATTTCCCTTAGCATAATGTATTCAAGGTTTCATTGTTCATCCACATTGTGGAACATGTCAGAATCTCCTTCCTTTAAAAAGAAATAATATTCAGACAGGTGCGGTGGCTCATGCCTGTAATCCCAGCACTTTGGGAGGCCGAGCTGGGCAGATCACAAGGTCAAGAGATCAAGACCATCTTTACCAACATGGTGAAACCCCATCTCTACTGAAAATGCAAAAATTAGCCAAGTGCGGTGGCAGGCTACTGTAATCCCAGCTACTTGGGAGGCTGAGGCACTTGAATGAGAATCACTTGAACTTGGGAGGCAGAAGTTGCAGTGAGCCAAGATTGTACCACTGTCTGGGCAATGGAGTGAGACTCTGTCTCAAAAGAAAAAAAAAAAAGGTTGTTCTTTTAAAAATATGCTAATCTACAATGTCAATTCTCCAAGCTTGACTTTTGCCTTTATTTTCTGATATGGTTTGGCCATGTCCCCACCCAAATCTCATCTTGACTTGTAATAAGCCCCACATATCAAAGGAAGGGGCCTGGTGGGAGGTGATTGGATCATGGGGGCAGTTTTTTTCAGGCTTTTCTTGTGATAGTCAGTGAGATCTTACAAGGTTTGTTTTGTTTTGGGGATGGAGTCCTGCTCTGTCACCTAGGCTGAAGTGCAGTGGTATGATCTTGGCCGACTGCAGTGCCCACCCCCTCGGTTCCAGCGATTCTCCTACCTCCGCCTCCTGAATAGCTGGGATTACATGCACGTGCCACCACGCCCGGCTCATTTTTGTTAGTTTTAGTAGAGGATGAGATTTCACCATGTTAGCCAGGCTTGTCTGGAACTCCTGACCTCAGGTGATCCACCCGCTTTGGCCTCCCAAAGTGCTAGGATTACAGGCATGAGCCACCATACCCAGCTGAGATCTGATAGTTTTATATGTGTTTGACAGTTGCTCCTTCACATGCTCACACTCTCTGTGTGGCCACCATGTAAGACATGGCCTGCTTCCCCTTCTGCTATGATTGTAAGTTTCCTGAGGCCTCCCCAGCCATGTGGAACTATTGAGTCAGTTAAACTTTTTCTTCCTTTCATAAATTACCTAACCGCAGGTATTTCTCAGAATCAGTGTGAAAATGGACTAATAGGCCGGGCGTGGTGGCTCAAGCCTGTAATCCCAGCACTTTGGGAGGCCGAGGCGGGTGGATCACGAGGTCGAGAGATTGAGAACAACCTGGTCAACATGGTGAAACCCCGTCTCTACTAAAAATACAAAAAATTAGCTGGGCATGGTGGTGCGTGCCTATAATCCCAGCTACTCAGGAGGCTGAGGCAGGAGAATTGCCTGAACCCAGGAGGCGGAGGTTGCGGTGAGCCGAGATTGCGCCATTGCTCTCCAGCCTGGGTAACAAGAGCGAAACTCCATCTCAAAAAAAAAAAAAAAAAAAAGAAAATGGACTAATAACCTTTCTGATAATCATGCTTGAGGATTTGGGGAATTCAGACTACCTGGGATCAAATCATAGCCTCACCCTGACCAGTCATGTGACCTTGGGGAAGTTACTTACCTTTCCCATCTCAGCTTCTGTAAAATCTGTAAAATGAGATTGTTTCTGAGGGTTAAATGAGCAGAGCACAGTGGGGACACTGTCAGGTACATACTGCTTGCCAGATGTTGAGTATTCATCTTTACTGAGTTAGGACTGTGATACCCTACTTTATGGCTCTTGATTTTGTATGGCAAAGTCATGGTTAGTGCTTTGTTAGTAAAAGAAAGAAAATCTGAAAGTCCCTGCCATGGAAGGAAGAAACAGAGAGGGGAAAAGGGAGTGGATAAGTTCAGCATTTCAGAGCTTGGAAGGACAAGTTAGATTTCTATTTCATGGAGAAGGAGGTGGAGGCAGGTTGGGTCCTAAGGTATCATTCAAAACACACAGCCATAATGCTTTAGTGAGAGTAGAGCTTGGGTGCCAGGGATTGCTGTGGTCAAGTTGCAGACAAAAACTACCACTCATTGGAAGACAGGAGAGGAGCATCTCATTACAGACACAATCAGCAATTCACGTGTATCTACATTGAGTCAGCAAATACAAGTTGTCCAACTTGGTTGCTAATGGGACCCACTCTACTGACTGAGGCTTCATATAGAACTCATAGGGTAAGATGGCTTCCAGTAACAAAACACTGTGTGCTTTTCTTAGGACTAAAAAGCTCAGGAATCTGGTGATAAATGAAAACCTCAGTCCCACCGACACTACATGAGGAGCCAAGGAGAGCAGCAGCATCATAAGCCACAGGGTGGGGCAGCCCAGGCAGGGGCATTCTGAGCTGTGGGGGAGGGTAGGCAGTTAGGGTGGGGCATTGTGAGGTGTGGGGTGGGGCATTGTGAGTCACATGCCTGGGTTCTCACCTGGGCCAATGGGCTTCAGTCTGTAGGTAACTGCAGGAGGAGGAGGAGCTCCTCTGTCTTTACTCTATTCAGGCAGTTGTTGTGGTCTCTCAGCACTTGTTGGGTTCACAACCTATTAAATAAGCCAGCTGGTCTTAACCCTCCTAGACAAGTCAACTCGGAGGAGGTGGCAGGGGCGGGCCTTGGCCCGAGTCCCAGCTGGGGCCAGGCTGTGGGGTGGGCAGGCGAGCAGCGGGCGATACCATCTCTGCAAGTACAGCATAGCTTCAGCCTAGAGCAGCGGGAGTGTGTGGTCAATGCTGTGAGCAGAAGCACAGGTGGTGGCAGACAGGAATAGAGGCGCTCATGGGGAATGTACTGAGCTGTTGCGTGCACCCTAAGGTGGATAAGCACCAGGGGCCAGTTTCTCCCCATGAGTCTGAGATCTATGAGGCAGCAGCTGGGGACAGGATGGCAGGAGCACCAGTGAGTCCCATTGTATCTACTGCTGAAGTGACTTTTGAAGCTGGCGAAGACCTCCACATGCACCACATCCATGACCGGGAGATGCTTGAAGGTAAGGAGGGGACCTGTGCCCTTGGCACAACTCTGGCTGCTGCTGTCCCCAGGGTCCCCTGGGAGGCATCCCCAACTTTGAGCTCCTTTCTGCTTGTAGCCAGCTTTCCCAGAGCTGACCAGGAACAAAGGCTGGCTCTGCCTTGCGTTCCCATTCCCACCGCTTAGTCTTTCTCCACAGAGTCCACTCAGTTTCTTTTCTCCTCCCCTCCCAAATGCTCAGTTCTTCCTCCTTCATCTCATTCTCCCAGGCTGGCATGGGAGCATTTATTGATGGCTCTTCTTGTCTGTAGCTCTGTTTATTATCCTGTGGCCCTTTGATAAGTCATCTTTGAAATATTCTGTCCCTTTTCTCAATAAAAACTTAAACATCCCAACTTTCCAGTACCCATCTCATTCTTTCTTTGTACCTATCCAGATGGTACCCAAGAAGTGGAGGATCCAGATAAGTGCCTATTTTTTTTTCCTGTATTAAGGTAGCTAAATCTCAGGACAATTCATATTCAAATATTTGTGGATTTCTTAAAATCAGAATGGAGGTTGTCATGCGAGAGACCATATGGTATTCTTAATGGGCTGCTGTAAGTCACCTTGATAGAAGCTGCTTAGTTTCTTCTAACCATAATTTTATCAGAGAAGAAAATGGAAGGTACTTAAAGTAATTGTGAAAGGTGTGAAATGTCACAGCCAGGGCTGCAGAAAAATGGGTGTGTATGTGGGGTTTTTCCCCAAAGCAGTTTACCCGTGAGGCTCTGATTACTTTAAAATTCTTACTGTAACACAAAACGTCTCCAGGTTTATTCTGGTGACTTAACAGACTTTATTTTCCTCCTTGTTCTAAAAAAGAGGTGGGGATGGTTCGTGGTCAAAACTTTCAAAAGACATGAAATGTTGATGTAGCCTTTTAATGTGTAAGATAAAGATTGAGGGTTAAAATGCCAGACCTTGCCTTATAGCAAACACGTGTAAGAGTGTTTGCTGCCATGGCTTTCCCTTTGTCCTTCCCCCTCCTGACAATAGCATCTTGTTCAAAGATAAGAAAGTTGAAGTTTTTCAGTTTATACACTGCTGGGAGAGGTAGGGGCCTGGGAGGGGGGTCGAAAAGACAAAACAGTCAGTTGGTTTGCCTGCAAAATTTTGCAAAGATAGGAATCTAAGTAAAAATAATTCTGGGTTACAATATGGTTCTTGAATAAAAATTAGAATTTTTAAAATAGAAAACACTTTATCACAAAGATATTAAATCCAGTTGGCTCACTGGTTTCATTTAAATGCCAGAGATTTCATTACTGTAGAGGAAATGTCTTATAGCTTTTCTCTTTGGGCTCTCAATTTTTTAAGAGGTAGGATAACTAAGACTCATGATGAAAATGACTTTGTAACTTGGAAGTACTATACTCACCTTTCAAGATATTTAAGGATTTCCTTTAGCATAAACAAATACATTATGTGAATGAATTGATTATACCTTTATACACAAAGCATGTAATTACTTGTGTAAACTTATACTCTGGTTGATAGATGGGTAGTGTTGGATGAGAGCGCCAAAACAAGGCTCTTTATTGTTATTCTTTAGGATTATGACACAGTTTATGTATGTCTCATTTGGCCCTTTCCAATACAAATAAGGCCTGTGTATGTTCTCCATATGTATTGCTAATGAAGAAATGAAGATATAGAGATCTCACATGACTATGGAAGACAGCTACTCAACAGAACTAAGGTTCTGTGTCTTCAGAATGACATGGAAGTGACATATATGTTGAATTGACTTTTGAAAAACTTTTAAAACTTCAGAATGTGTGTCTTTTATTTTGCCTATAAAATAGACCTGTCTTTTAAAACATATTGCCATCTTGATTTATTTTATGCAAAGTTGATTTTACACAACTCAAAGGGAACAGTTACCTCTTCATTTATTTTTATTTTTTATTTTTTGTTAAATAAAGGAGGGTCTCACTGTGTTACTCATGCTAGCCTCAAATTCCTGACCTGGATTCAAGGGATTTTCTTATCTCAGCCTCCTGAGTAGCTGGGACAACAGGCATGCGCCATCTTGTCTGGCTCCATCTTATGTCTATACATTCATTTCAATGGATAAGAATAAAGGTAGAAGTAGTTAAATGACCTAAATACAGCAGTCGAAGAAACGAGTTGATACACTGTTATAAGTGATCACATCTTTTTTCTTTTCTCCCTCTATAGATATGGCTTTGGAGTCCAACCCTTCTAACCATCCAGAAGCAAGGAAATCTCAAACAGATGGTGAGACAACGTTGTTTTTTCTGCCAAGAAAGAGTGGAAACTCTTGTTTGATCAGATGTATTATAGAAAGTATTTAGAAAAACTCATGTTGGTTTAAATTTTTCATATTCAGTTGTTATTTTAAAAGGTGGTATACTTTCCTTTAGTTGTTACTATGTTGGTGAAAACATGTAAACTTTTTGTTGAAACGTTTTGCCATCTTTTTGTCAACACAATTTGTCATGTGATGGAGGAGTCTTAGATTTATCTTTACGTATAATTCTTTGTCCCTTTTCCCGTGCTCCAAAGAGTACATTTTAAAGTTGAATGATAGAACTTAGGCTTCAGCTTGGTTTTCATTTAAATAAATAACAAAACATAGTTGTTCATTGTCGGGGGATTGAATCTGTGATTTTGGCCTCCTCTGACACAGCCCTCTGACCACATGTGTTTATCAAATACACGTTTATGTTATCCAAAACTTTTAAGTTATGAACATTTTCATTTGAATTTAAATTTAAACACATTTCATTTAAATTTAAACACATTCTACTCCTGCTTATTTTCCTTAATGTTATGTGAAATCCTGGTTTGTTTGTTAAAAAGCCATACACAGCGAGGTTTTCCAGTTGATTTAAGCAGCAAGAATATAATCATATGTGAATGTTATTTACTGTAATGTAGCACAGTCAAATATGGCAGTTTTTAACTCTTGTTTTTGTAGTTTGAGTAGACTTCACCTGTCTTGAGTTGGTTATTTCTGGCTAGAATTTGTGTTCATTTTTGCATTACTATAAAGATTTACCTAAGGCTGGGTAATTTATAAGAAAAAGAGGTTTAATTGGCTCATAGATGTTCAGGATGTACAAGCATGGCTTCAGCATTTGCTTCTGGTGAGGGCCTCTGCAAGCTTACAATCATGATGGAAGGAAAAGGGGAAGCAGGTGGTTCCACACTGTGAGAGAGGGAGAAGAAGGGGGTAGGGGGAAGGTTTCACACTCTTTGAAACTACCAGGATGAGAATTTTCTTCTTACTCTGGGGATGGCACCAAGCCATTCATAAGGAATCCACCACCATTACCCAAACACCTCTCACTAGGCCCTATCTCCAAGATTAAGGGTCACATTTTAACGTGAGATTTGGAGGGAGAAACATATCCAAACCAAATATGAATTGTATTTCCCAGTTCCATTCAGAGCCATGGGCTTCTCACACCTAGAGAGCATGGAAGCTGAAAAAAGAAAAGCTATTCCATGTTAGTAGAGGACCAGTAAGTGTGGTTGGACATGCTTAGAGGGAGTCTGGTGCATCTAGAGATAGGTGCCTGGCCAGGAAGTAGTTCTTAGAGCTGTTAGCTCTTAGATTCTGGTAATTAAGCTACGTGTAAATGCAAAATGGGAGAATACTAATGGATCATGGCTCGTATATGCAACAGGTAAACTTTTTTATTAGCTAAATTTTTCATCTGGCCTGATTTTTTTGCCCTTTTCTTTTATACATGAGTATTGTTTCATTCACATGTAACAAAAACAAAAATAAACTAAGTCAAAAAGTAAATCTAAGTTCTTAGGTTTTACTTTATGAGATTTATCATGCCAGATAGTTTAAATTATAAATTGTTAAAAATAATTTTTTGAAATGGAATTTTATCTCATTTTATATAGGAGTAGTCAGTAAGATGTTAACACCTACTATTACTTTATAATATTTGTGTCAGAAGTGACCAGTTTATTTTTTCATTCTTAGTGCACGAAAAAAGACAAAGCAGCTATGAAAACCATGTAAGTAAACACTAATAAAGGTGAGAAATTGATAGTTTGATGTAAAAGTCTCTCTCTCTTGATTCCTTTAAATTATAGTTGGGACCCAGTAGTGATAGCATGGACCTCTTTTTATGTATTTTCTAAATCTCTTCTACTTTCCTACATATCAAATTTATCCAGAAAAGTCTTCAGCTTAGTGTGCCCACCTTTTAAGGATTTCTGACATTTAAGTTAAATTTCAATAGTCTTGTTGTGGTATAAAGATCTGCTTTAAATATTTAATCTTATTTTTCATGAAATAACAAAAATAGAAGAGCTAAGTTAATTGTCAGCATGGTCTGTTGACTTTCTGCCACAGCAGGTGAAAGCATGCCTTCCTCGCTACACCATGACCTTATTTTTCTCCCTCTGTTTCTTTCAATTGTAGCACACTTTTGAATTAAATCAGTAACACTGACATGATTATGACTATCCAAACATTATTCACTGCTAAATCATATGGTGTTTTCACTGTGTCTCTGCGTTACATGTTCCTTCGTTTGTTCTCCGAAACAGTTCTGAAATTTGAGCACTTCTGCACTTCTTCTGGATCATCTCTTTTTTCCTAGCATATGCTGGTTTATCCAGCAGTAAGTAGTCTTGGGGTGGTCTGTCACTTTGTTAAAAAATAATTTTAATAATTATTATTAAATTATATTTTACATATAATTTACATTTCACATCCACTATTTTTTAGCATGAAGCTAATTTTCTGACTATATTCATTGGCCTGTTTTTTACCAGCTGTTTTCCCACCCAAGTGTTGTAGCATTTATCACATGCCTTTCAAAGATATTTCCCATCTGCTAAAACATGTCTGTTCCTCTTCTTTTTTCGTAGGGGGTGGGCAACTTTCTTTGGCCTTTTGTCATTGTAGTTCAATATAGAGCAGCTTTCCCTAGATATGCTCAATGTCTGCTTTTCTGTGCTATCTCTTTAAAGCCTTTTGACCTCACATAACTGCCGCCTTGTGTGGGATTGCCTGAGTCCTAGATTCTGTTTCCTCCTGTCCTGTTATCCTCTCTAGTTGTACTTGAGCACATTTTCCTGGACAGAGATGTTTAGAGATCTGGCCAGTCTTAAAATCCTTCCTTCTTGATAGAGAGTAAACTTCTAGGTTGAATCTAAATTTTTTGGTTCTGAAGATACTCTGCAATTGTGCTCTCATTACAGTGTTGTTCTTGAATTTATTGCCATCACGTGATATATTATTTATAACTGTGTTTTATGTATCTGTGGGAGCTGTTTAGGAGCTTTCCTGTCTCTGAGATTCTGAAATTTCATAATAAGGTCTTGGTGTGGATCTTTTTATTTTATTGAGGCTACTAAGTCTGCAGACTCTCTCTTTCTGAGAATGTTTTTATTTTCTCTGTTACTTTTTTTGGACAGTCTTGTTACTCAGACACTAGACTGCCTAGATGAGTATATCTTCATTGGTTTTAAATTTTTCCCCTTCTGTTTTTTTCAGTTTGTCTTTTTATTCTACTTCTGGGATATTCTGTGAGTTTATCCTCTACCATGTCTATTGAATTTTTATATTTTTTAGGGTGTTTTAAGATTTTTTTTTTTTTTTTGAGACGGAGTTTCGCTCTTGTTACCCAGGCTGGAGTGCAATGGCGCGATCTCGGCTCATCGCAACCTCCGCCTCCTGGGTTCAGGCAATTCTCCTGCCTCAGCCTCCTGAGTAGCTGGGATTACAGGCACGCGCCACCATGCCCAGCTAATTTTTTGTATTTTTAGTAGAGATGGGGTTTCACCATGTTGACCAGGATGGTCTCGATCTCTCGACCTCGTGATCCACCCGCCTCAGCCTCCCAAAGTGCTGGGATTACAGGCTTGAGCCACCGCGCCTGGCTTGTTTTAAGATTTTTAAAAAAAGTTTTGCTCCTGATTTTGACTGGTCCCGTCAAATTTTTTTTTGTTATTTCAATCTCTCTTGTTGGAGGCTTTTCTCCAATGTGTGGTGGTCCCTGGCTTACTTGATTTGAAAGCATGACTTGTGTTAACTGATGGCACCAGTGTGAGGTTTTGGAAGCCAAACTAGCTTTTCATTTGGGGGACCTCAGTGTATTATCTGGGGATCTTTATTTAAGACAGTTCAGTTTCTTGAGAAGGATCTCCCAAATTTCTTCCTGGGAAATAAAAGCATGGCTACTTGCTTTCCAAAAGCAGAGTGAGGGAAGAAAGATGGAGTTCCATTTTTGGTGTACAGTTTTGTTTATATCGCAGGTTTAGGCCATGGTAGCTGTGAGGCAGAAATTCTCAGGTTTGGTGTATTCAGGGAACACACATTTACATTTCTTATCAGATGGGAGGACAGGTGGACTTGGGGCTCTAATCACAGATTTTCAACTGATCTTGATGGCTTTTGCCCTACTTTTTACACTTTACCCGACTTTTCAAAGTGCTATTTGCCTTGAAATTCACAGCCTGCCTTTAGCTCTGCAAGACAAACTGCTCACTTCTGTTCCAGTCACTTTCTTTTTCTGTTTTTCTTTTTTTTTAAGACCTATATTTAAGTGTAAATCAAAGTTTAATTTCAATATCATTAATGATATTTACCAAGACAATTCTTTAGTGATGTATCTATAATAAGCATATTACAGTTTTCTTCTAAGGCCTTGTTTAATATTTTCATTCAAACTTTATACACTGTCATATTATCCCATTACTTGACCACATAGATGGAGCTGTTTTCATGAATGCTCACTGTGTTAGAAATATTTAAGTTAATTAAGATTTGTTTTTTAGCCTGGTCAGCATAGCAAGGCCTCATCTCCTCAAAAAGGTGAACTAAGAAATTAGCCAGGCATGGTGGCATATGCTTTTAGTTTTACCTACTGAGGTGGCTGAGGCAGAGGATTGCTTGAGCTCAGGAGTTTGAGGCTGCAGTTAACTATCATTGCACCACTGACCTCCAGCCTGGGCAACAAAGTGAGACCCTATCTCAGAAAAAGGAAAAGAGTTACTAATTGTTTAAAAACATACCTGAAATTTGTTCTGCCAAAAAGCAGAGAGAAAAATATAACCTTTAGCTTTTATTTTATTTTTTTATGTTTGCTGAGAAGAATGCTGTAGTTTATTTATTTTTCATTTCTTTTTGGAGGAACAGTTGGTATTTGGTTACCTGAGTCAGCTCTTTAGTGATGATTTGTGAGATTTTGGTGCACCCATCACCTGAGCAGTATCTACTGAACCTGATTTGTAGTCTTTTATCCCTCACCCTTTTCCCAGACTTTCCCCGAGTTTCCAAAGTCTACTGTATCATTCTTAGGCCTTTGCATCATCATTGCTTAGCTCCCACATATGAATGAGAACATGCAATGTTTAGTTTTTCATTCCTGAGTGACTTAACTTAGAATAACAGTCTCCAATTTCATCCAGGTTGCTGGGAATGGAATGCCATGAATGTATTCAATGTTATGGCTCAGTGGTATTCCATCATATATATATGTATATGTATATCACAGTTTTTTTTTTTTTTTTTTTTGTTTTTGAGACGGAGTTTCGCTCTTGTTACCCAGGCTGGAGTGCAATGGCGCGATCCCGGCTCACCACAACCTCCGTCTCCTGGGTTCAGGCAATTCTCCTGCCTCAGCCTCCCGAGTAGCTGGGACTACAGGTGTGTGCCACCATGCCCAGCTAACTTTTGTATTTTTAGTAGAGACGGGGTTTCACCATGTTGACCAGGATGGTCTCGATCTTTTGACCTCGTGATCCACCCGTCTCAGCATCCCAAAGTGCTGGGATTATAGGTGTGAGCCACTGCACCCGGCCCACAGTTTCTTTATTCACTTGTTGATTGATGGGCATTTGGGTTGGTTCCATATTTTGTAATTGTAATTTGTAAATTGTAATTTGCTGGAGTTCCTTGTAGATTCTGGATAATAGCCCTTTGTCACGTATATAGACTGTGAAGACTTTCTCCTACTCTGTGGGTTGTCTGTTTACTCTGCTGATTGTTCCTTTTCCTGTGCAGAAGCTCTTTTGTTAAGTCTCATTTGTTTTTGTTGCATTTGCTTTTGAGTTCTTAGCAATGGAGTCTTTGCCTAAGCCAGGGTTAAGAAGGGTTTTTCCAATGTTATCATCTAGAATTTCTGTGGTTTTAGGTCATAGATTTATGCCCTTGATCCATCTTGAGTTGATTTTTGTGTAAGGTGAGAGTTGAGGATCCAGTTTCATTCTCCTGCATGTGGCTTGCCAATTATCCCAGCACCATTGGTTGACTAAGGTTTACTTTTTTCACTTAATGTTTTAGTTGGCTTTGTTGAAGATCAGTTGGCTATAGGTATTTGGGTTAATTTCTGGGTTCTGTATTCTATTTCATTGGTGTATGTGTCTGTTTTTATACCAGTTCCATGCTGTTTTGGTGACTATGGCATTATAGTATAGTTTGAAATCAGGTTAGGTGATGCCTCGAGATTTGTTGTTTTTTACATAGTTTTGTTTTGGCTATGTGGGGTCTTGTTTGGTCCCATATGAGTTTAGGATTGTTTTTTCTAGTTCTGTGAAGAAGGATGGTGGTATTTTGATGGGAATTTCATTGAATTTGTAGGTTGCTTTTGGCAGTATGGTCATTTTCACAATATTCATTCTATCCATTCATGAGCATGGTATGTCTCTCCATTTGTTTGTGTCCATGATTTCATTCAGCAATGTTTGTAGTTCCCACCAGCATGTGAAAAAGATAATCCACCAAGATGAAATGGGTTCTCTACAAGGGATGCAGGGATGATTTTACATACACAGGTCAATAAATGTGATACACCACATAAACAGAATTCAAAACAAAAATCATGTGATTGTCTCAATAGATACAGAAAAAGCATTTGACAATATCTAGCCTCCTTTTATGATTAAAACTCTCAGCAAAATTGGCATACAAGGATCATAGCTCAATGTAATAAAAGCTGTCTATGAGAAACCCACAGCCAACATAATACTGAATGGGGAAAAGTTGAATGCATTCTCCTTGAGAACTGGAACAAGACAAGGATACCCCACTCTTACTACTTCTGTTCAGCGTAATACTGGAAGACCTAGACAGAGCAATCACACAAGACAAAGAAATAAAGGGCATCCATATCAGTAAATACGAATTCAAACTGTTGCTGTTTGTTGATGATATGATTGTATACCTAGAAAACCCTAAAGACTCCTCCAAAAAGCTCCTAATTTAACAAAGTTTCAGGAGATGAAATTAATGTACACAAATCAGTAGCTCTGTTATACCCTAACAGCAACCACGCTGAGAATCAGACCAAGAACTCAGCCCCTTTTATAATAGCTGCAAAAGTAAAATAAAATACTTAGGAAAGGACCTAACCAAGGAGGTGAAAGACCTTTACAAGGAAAACAACTTTAGTATTTTTCATGGGTTAAAATGAGAGGCAGCAGGTACAGTGGAAGAAGTCAGTGGCTGGGCATCGGCTTCCAACGGGTACTGGACCTTTGATGGTAAGCATTTGGTTTGACTTACTAAATTACAGGTTTAATTATTTTCTAGTTTTTGTTATTAAACTTATATGTAACCCCTTCTATTTCTTGTTAAAGATCACAAAATTTCACACTCTGATTTATGCTGACTGAAGTTAGATGATTTGTTTCTTTTTGTGATTACCTTAAATAATACCTATAAACAGTAAACTGTTAGTAGTGTTTTTGGTGTAATTAAATGTAGTAAGACTGAATGAATTTGTCAGACACTTGTTGAATTTTTTGATTTATTCAAAATTCTGTGCTCAGCAGCTAGAGATAGGAAGAGTAAGAGCCCTCTCTTACTCTTATGGAGAGGCATAGTTTCTCATGAGGGGAATACTCTGCAAGTATTTCCTTGCTCAGGTGATGGGTACACCAAAAACTCAGAAATCATCACTGAAGAACTTACTTTTGTAACCAAATACCACCGGTTCCCTCTAAAACCTATGCAAATAAAAAAATTTTAGTATCTTGTAATCAGTGGTGAATTTGACTAATTAGTGTGCAAAGAAACCATTTTTGGTGTGGCTGCTGTCAAAGAGATCGATCCAAGAGGGTAGATGGAGTCAAGTTTGCTGAAACAAGGAAAGAGAAAGGCAGTAGGCAGAGAGCAGGGGTATAGCAGGAAAATGCCTAGGTACAGGTCAGAAGATTTATAGAATGAAATTAAGCAAGTTTTGAAATGAATGGTAAGTGTTCTCTGGGAGTCTCATTTAAACATGAAGGAAAAGTTAAATTTTTTAAGTTGTCATCTGTTTTCAGGGTGTGAGAGAATATTTAAGTGATACTTTTTTTTATCCTCCACATAAGAAAACAGGTCTAGAGAAACCTATGGCTTCATCACTTGGTAGCCCAGCAGCCCTGGCACACAGAGCCTCTGAATCTGAAACACCTATTTTGTCACAATATCACCTGAAATAATACATTTAGGACTAGTAACTTAGTAAATGCATTAGTTTTGTATTCATTGCAATGAAATGCTCCTGTACCAATATTATTTAATATGTTACATTTTATCATAGTAAATAAATAGTAGACATTCTCAACTGTTTTATGTTACTGTTGAAAAAACAGTGAAATCTTATTCATAAAATCCTTGTTAGGTTTGATGACAGGTACCATATTAAGAGCAGCATTTTATAACTCATATCTCAAACATCATCTCTGGAAGTTAAGAGCCTCCAACGGGTTTTCTGTAGAGTAAACACGATACCACACTCAGGCAGTTCATGGAGTGTAAGGAATATCTTAGTGCTTTGTCATTTGACATTTTAACTGAGAAAAAAAATACACTTTGCTAAGTTTACCATATACTTCCCTTCCTCTTCAGGTATCTACTGAGCATTTACCTCGATTATATAGTTCATGCTCCACCATATTCATTGATGACAGCACAGCCAGCCACCCTCATCTTATAATGACACTAAACTCGTGAGTACAACTGTACTGCCAAGGGACAGACTCCTTTATTCTAAAGTTATTTCAGCCATTTGGTTGTCCTCTTCAATCACTTTCAAGAAATTGGAGTCAACTATATATTGATATCCAGATTCTAAATATTAAATATTAATTTCTCTTTTAATCTTAGATGTCATGGTGGAAGGAAAAATCAGTTAGCAAATATGCAATTTCAGAAAAAGTGTAGCTATTTATTTGATGCCTTTATACCTTAAGACAATGTTGAGTGCAGTGAGAAGGACAGGTTCCCTTTATTGCATTTTTTTTTTGTGTGTGAAGAATTAGTTTGTTTAGTGAGTTATAGGCCTGAATCAACATGGACTTCTTGGAGGAAGGAACAGCTTTTTCTCCTCTGGCACCACAGTGTATCTACATTTGAATTTCTCCCATTGTGCATGAGCACCTTATGGGCCACAAAGATGCACTTTGAGAGCACCCTGAGATGAAGTTTATTTTAAAAGGAACAACCACCAACACCAACACCACAGGGGCTGTCCAGTGTACATTATTTCATCTCCTTGGGTCATGAGTGTTGATTTTTAGAACATGGTTTGGAAAGTGCTAATTTAGAATATTAATGTCTTTATTTATAAGTTTACTTTTAATTCTAGAAACATAACTACTTAGCTTATAAACAATTTTGTTTAGAATACACTAGCCTTTTTAGCTAATTTGTCAGTAACTTTTACTTTAATTAAAAATTGCAAGTTTACACTTGTAATAATGCCACTTTCCTCTCTCCTTTATAACAATAGTTGAGATGAAATTGTGTTTCAGCAAAAACTGGACTCAAACTCTGTCTCAGGTTCTGAGCTTTGGGACCTATTGAGTAATCACTAAATGTCTGTAGTCAGCCAAGTCTATTCAATCTTTTTATTTATTTATTTATTTTTGAGACAGAGCTTTGCTCTTGTTGCCTAGGCTGGAGTGCAATGGTGCTACCTCAGCTCACTGCAGTCTCCCATGTTCAAGCATTTCTCGCTTAGGCTGGAGTGCAATGGCGCTACCTCAGCTCACTGCAATCTCCCATGGTCAAGCATTTCTCCTGCCTCAGCCTCCTGAGTAGCTGAGATTACAGGCATGCACCACCATGCCTGGCTGATTTTGTATTTTTTTTTTAGTAGAGATGGGGTTTCTCCATGTTGGTCAGGCTGGTCTCGAACTCCCTCAGCTGATCCACCCACCTCGGCCTTCCAAAGTGCTGGGATCACCACCTCACCTGGCTGTCTCTTAAATCTTTGAGCAGGAAAACAAACAAACAAACAAACTACTTTGACTGGAGTCCCTGGTTTCTTTTGAATTCAAAAGATTTTGATGTGTTAGCATACCATTCAAAAGTAGCTTTTAAGATTAATCTTGCTCAAAGAAATTTCATGCTTTTTTCCTCATTATTCTAATTTTTAGAAGTCTACTTTCAAAAGTAAAGTAAGTTTTAACTTGCCATCATCAAGTTAACATTTTTTTTTTTTTTTTACAATATTTGCTATTGGTGAAATAGAGGTTTATTGAGCAAATTAATAGGGCATATTGGCTTCAAGAAAAGATTTTGGAAAATATCATGAGTTAGTAGTGCACTGTTATCAATGGGATAGGAACTCACTGGGATCACTTCTGCAAAGTTTTTCTTCAAAATACATGTCTGCAAACACATGCATCTTCCCATCTCCACTTTCCCTGTATCTCTAGGCACTGAGAAGCCTTTTAGGAAAATAGGGATCAATGTGAGGCATCTTCATGTAGAGAAAAGCATGCCATAAGATTCTGATTTTCACCCCAACTCAATTATTCCAAATTTTCCTGCGCATTGAAATCACCTAGGAAACTTTTTAACAACAACCCGCGATGTCCAAAGTTATATCCAATGCTAATTAAATAAAAATGTCTCATGTTTAAAATGAGGCAATTATTGAAGCTTCTCAGATGATTTTAATGTGCAGCAAAATTTGAGAGCCACTGCCTAATTTGAGTTTAAGATGGGAAACTGCTCCTATTTGGTGAAACCTTGGGCAAGTCAGTTTTTTAAGATTTGTTTCCCTGATCTGTGAAATGAGTGTTGGATTAAATGTCATGTATGGTCATTGGTCCTTTCCAGCATATACCTTCAAATTCTGTGACTTGTAAAATTATTTCAAGGCTGGGTGCGGTGTCTTAGACCTGTAATTCCAGCATTTTGGGAGGCCAAGGTGGTTGGATCATGAAGTCAGGAGTTTAAGATCAGTCTGGCCAAAATAGTGAAACCTTGTCTCTACTAAAAATACAAAAAATTAGCTGGGCGTGGTTACAAATGCCTGTAATTTCAGCTACTCAGGAGGCTGAGTCAGGAGAATCCCGTGAACCCAGGAGTTAGAGGTTGCAGTGAGCTGAGATTCTGCCGTCGCACTCCAGCCTGGGTGAAGGTGCAAGACTCCGTCTCAAAAAAAAAAAAAAAAAAGATTATTTCAGAGATGAAAACTACTTGAAGTAGTTTTAAATGCTTAAATGCTAATGTTGCAGGCTTTTTGAAAAGTGCTAATATTATATAGACCTATTACTAAAATTGAGATTTGCCTTCCCTCAGTTATTTTGAGCCTCATTCTATATGCTGACGGCAAATGGAAGCACATAACTTATCTAAGAGATGCTCTTGTTTTGTGATACACAGCATCTGTGGGTAACTTAGAAATACAGTTACATATATCTGAAGAGCTGTATCTGTTCATAAATATTTCAGTTAAACTAATTGAAGGTACCTGCCACTCATATTACACTGTGTCATGTTACACCGCCTTGTTAGCACTGCTTATTTTAGGATCGTGTGAGCTTATGTTTACTCATATATTTTCTAATAATTATGCAACAGAGATTTCAAATAACTGTTATTTGTTAGAAAGCACTTTCATTATATGACACATTTTTAGGGAAATAATAATAAAAAAATGGGTGGGCAGGAGATAAGGAACTAAACTAAAATGCAGGGCCTAACATCTTAAAAAAGAAACCACTACTTTGTGGCTGAAATTTAAGCATATGTACACATAGATATAAATTGCATGAGGCTGGGTGTGGCAGCTCACGCCTATAATCCCAGCAATTTGGGAAGCTGAGGCAGATTGATCAGTTGAGGCCAAGAGTTTGAGACCAACCTGAGCATCACGGCGAAACCCTGTCCCTACTAAAAATATAAAAATTATCTGGGCATAGTGGCAGAAACCTGTAGTCTCAGCTACTTGGGAGGCTGAGGCATGAGAATTGCTTGAACCCTGGAGGTGGAGGTTGTGGTGAGCCAAGATCACACCACTGCACTCCAGTCTGGGCAACAGAGTGAGACTCTGGGTCCAAAAATAAATACATACATAAAATAAATTGCATGGGACGAAAGGTTTTATGGGTAGAAGAGCATATAACAGGGAAATATGTTATTATTTATATATTATAATAATCAACAGAAACATTTTTTTTTTTTTTTTTGAGACGGAGTTTCGCTCTTGTTACCCAGGCTGGAGTGCAATGGCGCGATCTCGGCTCACTGCAACCTCCGCCTCCTGGGTTCAGGCAATTCTCCTGCCTCAGCCTCCTGAGTAGCTGGGATTACAGCCACTCACCACCATGCCCAGCTAATTTTTTGTATTTTTAGTAGAGACGGGGTTTCACCATGTTGACCAGGATGGTCTCGATCTGTCGACCTCGTGATCCACCCGCCTGGGCCTCCCAAAGTGCTGGGATTACAGGCTTGAGCCACTGTGCCCGGCCGCCAGAAACATGTCTTCTAACAGCATATTGCCTTGCATTTTGGTTCTCATGTTTTTGCTGAAAGCCAAGAAATGAAAACAAGAAAGTGCCCTTGTGGTACTGTTCTGAACCAGAAGATTTTAATTTCAGGGACACTAGGAGAGTTTCCTCTGCATCCTTTTTAAAAAATGTCTTCAGGCCTAACCAGTGATAACATCTATTTTTATGAATGTTTTTTCTTCCACAGTGTGGCCTTGGAGATATATTATCATATCAAGCAAAGGTGAGCTTTTTAAAAACCTGTCTTGTTATTCTAGCTAATTACTTTGCAAGCTGTCAAGCTCAGTGTTAGGTCACAGGTCTAGACATCATAAGATGTATTGTGCCTACTAAAATATCGATGCAAATTATTTGTGTTTTCTTTGGACCTTAAGAATCTCTTAAATCTTAAATGATTGGGAATCTCAAAGAGTATGTGTTTATGTTGATTATATTAATATTTACTGTTGTAGAACTATAAAATTGAGATTTTTTTTCCCAGATCTATATTTAGCTGAGATTTCACAGCCTTACCACTGTGATATCATGAGCTAGATAATGCTTTGGAGGCCGAGGCGGGCAGATCAATTGAGGACAGGAGGTTAAGACCAGCCTGACCACCATGAGAAAACACGTCTCTACTAAAAATACAAAAAAATAGATGGGCGTGGTGGTGGATTCCTGTAGTCCCAACTGTTAGGGAGGCTGAGGCAAGAGAATCGCTTGAACCCGGGAGGCAGAGGTTGCAGTGAACGGAGATCATGCCATTGCACCCCAGCCTGGGTGACAGAGTGAGACTGTCTCAAATTAAAAAAAAAAAAAAAAAAAAAAAAAAAAAAAAAAAAAAAAGAGTGAGGCAATAACCTGACCTAACATGCAAATATGTAGTTGGTAAAAGGTATATTTTTAAAGCTCTGAGACAGTTGTGGGTATTCGTTAATGCTAAGTCAAAACTTCACAAGCGCTACTTTCTTAAATTAGTTACAGTAGCATTTTACATATTACTAAATTTATTCCATTAATGCTCACTCGTCTTTCTTGCACGGTAAATCGATCTTTTCCCCCATACTTGCATTTATAATATTATGCATTAGTTATTTGGAATATGTTGGTTTATGTTTTATTTTGTCAAAAATCACTTTTAGTTTAACCACCAATCTTATTTTAAAATATCTTTAAGTATTGAAAAGTTGTCAAGCTATAGTAGAAAGAATGAATTTTTCAGAGTACTCAGGAAAGCTTAAATTTTATCATTGGGAACAAATACTTGTTTTCCTTGAAGTGACAACCTCATGTCATTTATTTTTGAGAAAGATAGTTACCCTTTTTTTTTTTTTTGACCAAGTCTCACTCTATCACTTGGCTGCAGTGCACGGGCATGATCTCAGCTCAAGCAGTCCTCTCACCACAGGCTCCTGTGTAGCTGGAACGACAGACATGTGGCACCACGCCTGGCTAATTTTTGTGTATTTTTGGTAGAGACAGAGTTTTGCCATGTTGCCCAGGCTGGTCTTGAACACCTGAAGGAGCTCAAGGGATCTGCCTGTTTTAGCCTCCCAAAGTGCTGTGATTTTACAGGTGTGAGCCGCTGCACTGGCCCAGTTGTACTTTTAAATAAAAATGATGTCCTGTGAAAAAAGTGATTGTTCAGCTCAGAATTAAATCACAAATTCTTTTTTTTAAAAACACAACAATACTACAGTCAGCAGAAGCACTTCTTGTTAGCTTTCCACTGATTCAGAATATTAAAGTGACATGTCAAGATTTGGTAACACCATTTTTTACTGCTTCATCAAAGACATTCTTAAGTACTTTAGCCTATCTTTTTTAACTGTAATGGACAATAAAGTATAGAATGACTACTAGTGTAATTGGTACCACTGCCTTGATTTAGGCTGAGAAACCAGCAGTTTTACCCACTTTTGCTTCTATACAGTCATGGCAAGTGTCTATGAAAAGCAGGCAGTGTCTTTGTATTACTTTCATAATTAAAAAAATTTCTTTTATCAGCTTTCTCAGGTTGAATTAGTATGATTATCAGAACAGTGTCGGGTGGGCATGGTGGGTCAGGCCTGTAATCCCAGCACTTTAGGAGGTCAGGCAGGCGGATCACCTGAGGTCAGGAGTTCAAGACCAGTCTGGTCAACATGGTGAAACCCCATTCTACTAAAAATACAGAAATTAGCTGGGCATGGTGGTGGGTGCCTGTAATCCCAGCTACTCAGGAGGCTAAGGCCGGAGAATCTCTTGAACCTGGGAGGTGGAGGTTTCAGTGAGCCAAAATTGTACCACTGCACTGCAGCCTGGGCAACAAGAGTGAAACCCTGTCTCAAAAAAAAAAAGGAAGGAAGGAAAGAAAAAAGAAAGGAAAACAAAGAAGGGAAGGGAGGGGAAGGGAACGGGAAGGGAACGGGAAGGCTAGGGGAAGGGATAGGGGAAGGGAGGTGACCTCTTAGGCCTTCTGGAAAAGGGTCTTGGGGATCCCCAGAGGTCCACAGAGCACATTTGGAGAACCACTGGTTTATTACACAGGCACAATGCATTAGTTTTATGAAGTTTAAAGTCTGTCAAAGACTGACCTCTTTTAAAATAAAGCAGATGAGTTTTTAATTCAAACAACAGAAAATACATACATCATGAGACTATGCTACAGAGAACTAAAGAGAAAGAAAGTTAGAACTCTGAATCACTTTTTGATTTATTAACGTTCTAAAGACTTTATTGCCCACCACTACTGCTTCGTAAAATGTTCTCGTGTTTCAGTGTGTGGTTAGAAGAGTGAAAATATGTTTGGTTTGTTGTCATTGCCTGTTAAGGGTCAATACTTACAGGCAGTTCTGACTGGTTATCGTAAAAAGAATTCATAGCGCAGGACATGTTGCGCCGAGGAAGAAGAGGTCGAGAAACCCTCTGCAGGTCAGGATCCAGGTGAAGAATTTGTAAAAACTTCTTTGCTGAAGTAAGCACCAGAGCACATAGGAGGCATTATTTTACTAAACAGATAGTTTACTAAGATATTTAACAGTGTTTGAAGTAATGTATATTCTTATTTTATAGAGATGCCGATAGAACTTTGGGCATCTTTGATGAACGGTTACACCCATTTACCGTAAGTGGCACTTTTACTGAAGTTGTATTTGCATCATAGACTGGCATTTGTTTCATGCTGAACTCAAAGTCATCTTTCTTTAAATCCTCTTCCCCATTTTGTGTTGCATTTAGTCATCTTAAGTGCTGTGAAAAGAATGTGCTGGAATAAGAACTGATCTGTAGCTCTCTTCAGTAAATGAGCTAGTATGAGTAAATATAATATCCAAATAACAGAAAATGTATCTTTTAAAAAGACAATAACATATACTCATATTGCAACAAGCAATATGAGTATATGTAAGTATTTTTCACATAGAAGCATGATTTTTATGAAGAGTTAAAAATAAGTTTAAATCAACTTACATGGTGTAAAAATTTAAAAATGTGCTTCCTCAGATACATAATAGCCACACGTGGCTAGTAATTATTGTATTTAACAGCGTAGGCTTAGAGCCTCATGGTTGCGGGAAACTGTGTTTTCTCAATTTATTGCCGAGAAGAGTGACATATGGTCAGTAAGACCATCCAAAGTAACTTACATTTGGATGGAATTATGTGGGGGAAAGACTAAAAAAGAACAATACTTTTCTGAGGTTAAGCTCATACTATTTTTAAGTGAATGCTGATGAGTATTTAATCATTATGGTATTTTAAGATTCCACTGTTCATATTGTAAAATCTAAAAGACATCTCACTAATCAAAATTACTGTGATACGATGGGCACAAATGTGAACACTGCTGTCTTAAGAGCACTTTAGGTTTTTTCTTCAGTGGATACTTAATATTGCATTTTTTCTTCCTTCAGCAAGAACGGCTTCCAGAGGAATACTTTAAGTATGATCCTGGGCACAAATTGATTTTCACATTTCTTCATACTCTATTTAAAGCCAAAAGGCTAACAGCTGACTTGGCAATCAGAAGTTTGGTAAGCTATTTTCTGTTTATAAAGCATCTTTAGAAATTGGTCTTGTAGAGCAGACTGGCCAACATGGTTAAACCCTGTCTCTACTAAAAATACAAAAATTAGCCAGGCTTTCTGACATGCCCCTGTGGTCCCAGCTACTCAGGAGGCTGAGGCAGGAGAATTGCTTCAACTCAGGAGGCAGAGTTTGCCGTGACCAGAGATCAAGCCACTGTATTCCAGCCTGGGTGACAGACAGAGACTCCATCTCCAAAAAAAAAAAAAAAAAAAAAAGGAAACGAAATTGATCTTGTATACAGCATGGCATGGTCCTGTTTTTAAATAAAGGTAGGTTTCTGAAATTATCTCAGAACTTTAAGAGAAACTTATGAAAGCAAATATACACATTGGAGTTGAGTCATCATCATGGCTTAAAATGTTGCCATTGCTTTTCTCATCACAGAACAATTGCTATTAAAGGCAGCAGGATTTCTGATTTCTCCCCCCACACTTCAGTGCACACATGCACACAGTGTGCATACATCCAGGGCACGTGGAGGGCTTGGAATGGGGAATAATAACAAAACCATCTGGTTGATGGGCAGGAATAGATGCCTACGTCTAAGCTGAGGCCCAGGCTGTATCCCCAGGCAATTCTGATGCATGTTGTGATTGAGAGCTGCTGCCTTCAATTCATTGTTCCTTGGATGTGCCTAATCTACCCCTGTTGGGCAGAGTAGGTAGCAGAAATATTTGATCTATGATTGTGATATGGTCCCTTGCTTGGCCTGGTCAAGCAAAGCCTTTGTAGAACATAAGAATAAAAGGCACTTACTTTCTGGTCAAAACCAGAAGTATTCTGGTTTTTCACAAGAGTTCTTATCACAACATTTCAACCCAGCTAAGCCAAAGGCCAGTCCTCTGTTTTGCAGGTATACATCGAAAGACTTGTAAGTTATGCTGATATCAACATTTGTCCAACCAACTGGAAAAGGATTGTCTTTGGAGCCACTCTTCTTGCTGTCAGGGTTGGGCACGATGTGGCTGTGTGCCATGAGCACTACTGCAAGCTCTTTGAGAACATCACAGTTGAAGACATGTGAGTTTATATGGTTTTTGTGAACTTTCTAACCATTTTTGAATACTTTATTTGCTCCCATAAACTTAAACACTTTAAGAAATATATATATATATATATATATATTTTTTTTTTTTTGTGAGACGGAGTTTCGCTCTTGTTACCCAGGCTGGAGTGCAATGGCACGATCTCGGCTCACCGCAACCTCCGCTCCCTGGGTTCAGGCAATTCTCCTGCTTCAGCCTCCTGAGTAGCTGGGATTACAGGCATGCACCACCATGCCCAGCTAATTTTTTGTATTTTTAGTAGAGATGGGGTTTCACCATGTTGACCAGGATGGTCTTGATCTCTTGACCTTGTGATCCGCCCGCCTCGGCCTCCCAAAGTGCTGGGATTACAGGCTTGAGCCACCGCGCTCGGCAAGAAATATTTTTAAAGGTTACATTGTGCAGATAATAAGAATGGACATAAATACCACATACTCTTTCTCCCTAGCTTTAGAACAACCGTTCATATTTTTCACTGTTCATTGGTAAGTCTTGGTAAATTGCTGTTGTAAATAATCTCATAAATGGAAAAGTATTTTTCTGGTGAATGTTTTTGGCAAATATCTTACCAGCGAAGTTCCAGGACATAATAGTACAGTAAATATCCTTATGGCTTTTTACAAGCTATCTGCAAGTTCCAGTCTCTTTGTAAGGAGCACATGTCTGGCCTTTGAAATAACTGTTTGGTCATCGACAGGTCTAGGGCCTCTGAATTGTGAAGTATAGCTTCACCCTGACTTACACATTGTGTGTTTGCTTTTGCTGGTGTTCCCCCTGCTTTTATCTGAAGATCTGTTTTATTGAAACCTTGAGATACAGAATAGCCACAGATCCCTGTGCCCCTGTCCCCTCCCCATTAAGAGAGTTGCATTACTGGGCTGATGAGTAAGAAGTTCCAATGTTCCCCTCAGGCAGTCTGAGAAACATTGCTGGGGCATCACCCAATGCTCACCACACTCAGGAGGTTCTGGGGCACTCATGCAACCACAGCAGCACTTGGGAGGGTCCCGAGTTACCTAGGAGAGTGCAAGAACTCTTGCTGAGTCATGGGGTTGCTCACAGATGGCACCAACATGCCACTGAAACAGGAGCTTCGTAGGTCTTTCTTCCTGGCCTGATGACTGCTGTAAAGGGACAGTCTTTGGAGCTGGTTGATAGGGTGAGCCAGGGAGGCAATTCCAGCACAGGCTCTCAGTGTCCACTAGACAGCGAGAACGGCTTTGTGGGTGACACTTAGGAAAATCTGAAGGAACACCTCTTGACGTTGAGCAGCATATGAAGATCAGGATCCTCAGGCAGTGGCAAGAAGTTTAGGTTTTTCCGGGTTTTTGTTTTTACATTTGCTTATTACTCCAGATAAGACTGTCATTCAGAATGTATGCAGACACAGGGTTGGAGCCTGATGGCTGAATAGAAGTCTCTGCCGTTTGTGCTCCCCACGGGAATTACAAATTGAGCAACTATTTAAATAAAAAAGTACCTTCATAGGAACTAAAAATCAGGTAAGTGATCACAGCACATGGTTTTGACTTCATATCACTGAAAGAGGCACTGAACAACCTAGAAAAGACAGTCTTGAATTGCTGATTCCACCCCTGTGAACCTGTGGCAAGGAGAGAGGCTACATGCTTGGGACAGGGAGAGCACAGCAGCTGTGGGACTTTGCACTGAACTCAGTGCCGCCTCCTCATAGCAGAAAGCAAAACAAAGCTGAACTCACCTAATGCCCACCCATGGAAAAAACATTGAGACTAGCCCCAGGCAGAGGAGAATTGTTCATCCCAGTGGTTGTAACTTGAGTTGTGAAACTCTGGCATTCTTAATAAACCTGAAAGCCTGTCTAGGTCACAGGGACTGCAACTCTTAGGCAAGTCCGAGTGCCGTGCTGCGCTTGGAGCCAGTGTGTCTGGGGGCTTGTGACCCAGAGAGACAGCAGCTGCGGCAGCTAGGGAGTGCTTGCCCACCCCTCCTCCAACCCTAGACAGTGCAGCTAGCAGCTCTGGCAGAGACCTGTTTCTTCCGCTTGAGGAGAGGAAAGAGGAAACAGGACTTTGTCTTGCAAGTTGGATACTAGCTCAGCCACAGTAGGAGAGGGCACTGGTCAGAATCATAAGCCTACCCCCCCATTTCAGGTCCCAGCTTCGGGATAATATCTCTAGACAAGCTCTTGGCCAGATGGGAACCTGCTACCCTAAAGAAAGGACTCAGTAATGGCAGGATTCATCACTTTCTGATGAAAGAGCCCTTGAGCCCAGAAGAATCATCAGTGGTGACCATTTAGTACATGCCATGGGCCTGGAGTGAGACTGAGAGATATACTGGCTTCAGGTGTGACTGAGCACATTCCAGCTGTGGTGGCTACAAGGAGACTCCCTCTGCTTGACAAATGCTGAGGAAAGAGTAAAGAGTTTTCTTGAGCTTAGATACCAGCTCAGCTACAGTCAGAGGAGCACCAGGTGAGCTGTAGGAATCCACGATTCAGGCCTTGGCTCTTGGATGGCATCTCTGGACCTACCCTGGTCCAGAGAGGTGCCCAAAGCCCTGAAGAATGAGTTCCAGGGCAGGGAGCACTCACCACAAGCTGACTTAGAGCCTTTGGGTATTATGAAGTGAACATCCATAGTGACCTGGCACTAATCTCCATGGGACTGTGATGATGTTGTATGTGGGGACAGACTACCGTGTCTGGGGAAAGGGGAGGAAAAAGTGGGAAGGGATTTGCCTGGTGGATTCAGTGCTAGCTCAGCCATGGTAGAACAGAATACCAGGTAGATGTCTAAGGTTTATGACTCCAGCGCAGGCTCCCAGATAGCACCTCTGAACCCATCCAGGGACCAGGGGAGCTTACTGCACTTAAGGGAAGGACAGAGGCCTGGCTGGCTTCACTACCTGCTGATTGTAGAGCCTTGGGCCCTTGAGTGACATAGGTGGCAGCAGGTACTTGTTATAGTGGGCCTTGGGCAGTCACAGTGCTGTGCCAGCTTCAGACCTAATGCTGTCCCAGTGGTCATGGCCACAGGGGTGCTTGTATCATTCCTCTCCCAGCTCCAGGCAGCCTAGCACAGAGAGACAGACTTCATTTGTGGGAAAGCAAGGGAAGAAGTGAGTCTCTGTCAGCTAATGATAATTCCTCCAGGTCCAATCTCAGACCACCAGTGTGGTACCTCCACAAGGCTTCAAAAACCGATGACATTCTTCACAGAAATAGAAATAAAAAAATGAATGCTAAAATTTATATGCAACTACAAAAGACTCAGAATATCCAGAGCTATGCTGAGCAAAAACCAAACAAACCTGGAGGAATCACATTATCTGATTTCAAATTATCCTCTACAGCTATAGTACCCAGAACAGCATGGCACTGTGATTAAAAACAGACATGTAGACCAATGGCATAGAATAAAAAACCCAAAAACCAATTCATACATCTTCAGTGAACTCATTTTCTGTGAAGGTACCGAGCACATACAATGGGGAAATAACAGTCTCATCAATAAATTGTGCGGGGAAAACTGGATATCCATATGCAGAAGAATGAAACTAGACCTCTATTTCTCACCTAATACAAAAGTCAAATCAAAATGGATGAAAGATGTAAATCTCGGTGGGGCTCGGTGGCTCACACTTTTAATCCCAGCACTTTGGGAGGCCAAGATGGGAGGATCACTTTAGCCCAGGAATTTGACAGTAGCATGGGTGATGAAGTGACATTCTGCCTCTATTTAAAAAAAAAAATAATAAAAAGATTTAAATCTAATACCTCAAATATGAAACTGAAATAAAACATTGGGAAAACTCTCCAGGATACTGGACTGCGCAAATATTTCTTGCATAATATTTCATCAGCACAGGCAACCAAAGCAAAAACAAGCAAATTAGTTCACCTCAAGGTAAAAAGTTTCTGCACAGCAAAGGAAACAATCAACAAAGTGAAGAGACAACCCACAGAATGGGGGAAGATATTTGAAAACTATCTGACAAGGGATTAACTACCAGGATATTTAAGGAGCTCAAATAATTTCATAGAAAAAAATCTAATCTGATTTTTAAAGTGGGCAAAATATCTTAATAGACATTTCTGAAAAAGAGGATGCATTAGGCAGGCTTGGTGACATGTGCCTGTAGGTTCAGCTGTTTGGGAGACTTAGCTGTGAAACTTACCTGAGCCTGGGAGGTTGAGGCTGCAATAAGCTGTGATTGTGCCACTGCACTCTAACTTGAGTGACAAAGTGAGACCTGTTTCAAAACTCCTTAAGAAAGGCATACCAATGGCTAATACATATATGAAAAGATACTCAACATCAATATCATTGATCTTCAGAGAAATGTGAATCAAATTACAATGAGAGATCATTTCTCACCCCACTTAAAATGGCTTTTATTTAGAGACAGGCAATAACAAATGCTGGTGAGGATATAGAGAAAAGGTAACCCTTGAACACTGTTAGTGGGAACACTAACACTACTATAGTACAACCACTATAGAGAACAGTTTGGAGGTCCTCAGAACTAAAAATAGAGCCACCATATGATCCAGCAATCCCCCTGCCGGGTATATACCCAAAAGAAAGGAAATCAGCGTATTAGCCAGAGAGCTGCACTCTCTTGTATGTTGCAGCACTATTCACAACAGCCAAGATTTGGAAGCATTCCAAGTGTTCATCAACAGATGGGTGGTTAAAAAAAATGGTACATATACACAGTGGAGCACTATTCAACGATAAAAGAGAATGAGATCCTGTTATTTGCAACAACATGAATGGAAATGTTAAGTGAAATAAGCCAGACAAAGAAAGACAAACTTCACGTATTCTCACTTATTTGTGGGAGCTATAAATTAAAACAATGCAACTCATGAAGATCTAGAGCAGGAGAATTGTTAGCAGTGGCTGGTAAAAGTAGCATGGGGGATGAGGCGTAAGGGGTAATGGTTAATAGGTGCACACATTTGGTTAGAAAGAATAAATAAGATCTAGTAAGTATTTGATACCACAACACGGTGACGACAGTCAAGAATTATTTAATTGTACATTTTACAGTAACTAAAAGAGTGTAATTGAATTTGTAGAATTAAAAAAAAAGAACACATGCTTAAGGTACAATGGATTTTTCATTTACCCTGATGTGATTATTACACATTCTAGGCCTGTCTGAAAATATTTTATAAACCCTATGAATATATTCAACTACGGTGTACCCCAAAAGAATTTTAAAGACATCATTCAGAATTACCACAGTGTATATTTACAACTGAAATGAGGCTTCTTTTGACTAAGAAGAGACTAGTGACTGTTGGCTGCTATTCAAATGGCTGCTAAATTACCACTTTGCTAATAGTAGAAACTGAGTTGTCATGGTGATTTTGCTGGTAGCCATTTTAGCAAAGGATGTAACAGAAAATTAATTCGAAACAAATAGATGTACTTTGAAAGTTGCAGAAGCTAAAGTGCTGTTAATGACTACTGCCATCAGTGTGTAAACTGGTGTCTTTGTGTGTGTGTGTGTGTGTGAGAGAGAGAGAGAGAGGGGAGAGAGAGAGAGAGAGAGAGAGAGAGAGATGGAGTTTTGCTGTTGTTGCCTAGGCTCGAGTGCAACCTCCGCTTCCTGGGTTCAAGCGATTCTCCTGCCTCAGCCTCCCAGGTAGCTGGGATTATAGGCATGTGCCACCACAACCAGGTAATTTTGTATTTTTAGTAGAGACGGGGTTTCTCCATGTTGTTTCTCCATGTGTCAGGCTGGTCTTGAACTCCTGACCTCAGGTGATCCACCTGCCTTAGCCTCCCAAAGTGCTGGGATTACAGGTGTGTGCCATCAAGCCCAGCTTGTAAACTGGTTTCTTCAAGGGAGCAAAATTTGTAATTATGAACACTTAGCTCCACTATAATGGTAGATCAATTTAACTGCCATTATTGATTGATCTCAGAACCTGTAGCTAATTATTATTATTAAATTGATCTCATTATTAAATTGATCTCAGAACCTGTAGCTAATCTGGTGGGGCTCTAGCTTTAGTTCAAGGTCAGAGAATACATAGGGAAATGTTCAGGTTTCCACAGATGTGAGCTTCAGAAGCAGTGGTGACAGAGGCCGGCTCCAGGACAACCAGTTTTACGGTGCTATTTGTGAACGCAGAAGCATCAGAAGCTATGGTCTGAACAGGAGCAATGTCGGTGATCTTTGGATATTGAAAAACATTACAACAAAGTGTTTAATGGACATTTTTCTTGTCCCTCTGCTGTTGATTATTTATAATGGTCTCTTTTTGACTGTAAATTGAACCATTTAAAAATGAGTGTCTATCAGATTTTTCTTCAAACTTTTCAACATCTATTTGTCTTGTTAGAATATATTTTCCTTCATAAACATCACTAATTATCAGGGAAATGCAAATTAAAACGACAATGTAATACCACCTTACTCCTGCATGAATGGCCATCATTATAAAATAAAAAAATATACATGTTGGTATGGACTTGGTGAAAAGGGATCGCTTACACTGCTGATGGGGATGTAAACTAGTACAAGCACATGGAAAAGAGTACTGCCGTTCAGTCCAGCAGTCTCACACTGCGTATCTACCCAAAGGAAAAGGCGTCATATGAAAAAGACACATACACATGCATGCTGATAGCAGCACAGTTTGCAAGTGCAAAAATATGGGACCAACCTCAATGCCCATGAACTAATGGGTAGATAAAGAAAATGTGGAATATAGACACCATGGAATACTGCTGTGTCATAAAACAGAATGAAATAATGGCCTTGACAGCAACTTGGATGGAGCTGGAGGCCACTACTCTAAGTGAAGTAACTCAGGAATAGAAAACCAAATATCATATGTTCTCACTTTTAGGTGGGAGCGAAGCTATGAGGATGCCAAGGCATAAGAATAGTACAATGTCCTCTGGGGACTCCAGGAGGAAGGTTGGGAGGGGGGTGAGGGATAAAAGATTACAAATTGGGTAAAGTGTACAGTGCTCAGGTGGTAGGTGCACCAGAAGCTCTGAAGTTACCCCTAAAGAAATTATCCATGTAACCAAAAACCACCTGTACCTAAAAAGCGGTTGAAATAAAATTTAAAAACATTATTGATAAACGACTTACACACACACACACTCTCACATGTAAGTCACACTGAGCAGCTCCTATTCAGGAAATTTGCTGTGCTCGTAAAGGGTATGCTATTCAGCCATTTAAAAAACAACGAAAACTAAGAAGATCCACATCCTGTAGGGAGAATGGTTTTCTTCAATAACTACTATTAATAAACATGATAATTTTATAAAAAGTGTATTTTACACATTTAAAATATGTTTATGGAAAAACACAAAAGGGATTATGAAGTGCATGCATTCCTGTAGAAATTAAGTCCTGATCAGCTGATTATTTGAACATTATCTGATTTACATTCCTGTAGCCTTGTGGTTATATGAATAGGAAATTAATGTTGGAAGTAGTTTCAGCTGGGTTTTTGGTTAAACAAAGGAGAAACCCACATATCTGCTTATATCCTAACTACTCTCCATACCAGAGAATTTCAAGCGTTTGTTGACTTAGCCAGTGGATGAAACATTGGAACTTTAAAACCAAGAACCCAAATGTGTTGTTGAAGTATTGTTTTTATACAATTAAGTCTTTACAGTGATTATTATGAGAATGGTAAGATTACTCTAGTTTTGCATTTATTTAAACATTTGACAAAGTGCTAGATACAGTGGCTCATGTCTGTAATACCAGCACTTTGGGTGATCAAGGTGGGAGTATCCACTTGATCACAGGAGTTAAACACCAGCCCAGGCAAAAAGTGAGACCCTGTCTCTACAAAAAGAATTTTTTAAAATAGCCCAGCTAAGTGGCATGAGCCTGCAGTTCCAAGCCTTGAAAGGCTTAGGTGCATGGATTACTTGAGCCTGGGAGGTTGAGTCTGCTGTGAGCTAGGATCATGCCACTGCACTTTAGCCTGGATGGCCCTGTCTCAAAAAAAGAAAAACAAAACCTTTGGCCAGGACAGGTGAATAATCATGCAGCAGAGGGCTGCTTCCAGCCTGTTCCCCTCTCAGTGCATTCAACTCATCCCCACAGTCTGTTGTGGCCAGGGGTGACCGATGCTGAGCACCTTGGGGTTTCATTTCTAACTCAACTCAGGAGAAACAGTGTGTAAGGCCGGCACCCTACCAGAAGGCATCTCCTAAAGTGAGTTTAGTTTAGCCAAGATGTCTCTCTCTGATCTTTCTACCTTTCGAAGTGTAAAGAGTATTTCTGTCCCATAATAGTGACAGGTAATAAATGGCATCCATCATTTCTGTCATCTGATCACTATTGTGGTACCTTGGGAGTGAGCATGGAGTCTGAGTTGTGCAATGGAACCCTCAAGAATGAGCCCCAAGTTCAGCTGTAGGAGTGCAGAGGAGGCTGTCACCTTTCTCCTCTTCCCAAACTTGTGCTGGATGCAGAATGGACTACAAGCAGCTGTGCCCTGTTTGGACATTAGCATAGGAATCCACGTGCATAGGCTGTATTTGTTTCAAAATAGAATTTGGAGCAATTTTAGTGGCTCAGTGTGATTTTTTTTTTTTTTTTTTTTTTTTTGAGACGGAGTTTCGCTCTTGTTACCCAGGCTGGAGTGCAATGGCGCAATCTTGGCTCACCGCAACCTCCGCCTCCTGAGTTCAAGCAATTCTTCTGCCTCAGCCTCCTGAGTAGCTGGAATTACAGGCACGTGCCACCATGCCCAGCTAATTTTTTGTATTTTTAGTAGAGACGGGGTTTCATCATGTTGACCAGGATGGTCTCGATCTCTCGACCTCGTGATCCACCCGCCTCAGCCTCCCAAAGTGCTGGGATTACAGGCTTGAGCCACCGCGCCCGGCTTTCAGTGTGATATTTTTAAACAGAGAAAAATTTTACTGACAACAGCAACAACAACAAACAACCGCCTATTAAATTCATATAGTAATCTTTAAAGAGTATCTACAAAACTGTAACCAAAATGTTTTCTTGCAAAAGAAGCGGAAGTAATTACAAAGACCCTTTCAAATGAAGAATCACTGAGAAACAAAATATAGAAGTACTGTAGTATAACATTTACTTATGTACATTTTTGAAGATCATACAAGAATCAATTTGCATCAGGCTTTTCAATTTACAAACATTGATAGGATTTCCCTCTAGGGGAAGTTTTCACATAAATGTTGAATACATTCTTAAAACTGAAAATTTCTCTGTATTTGGTATTTGACTAGGGTTCCAATCCTATGTGCTTTCTTATATTTATAAGGTGTATCTGCAGTGTGTGTTACCATGAGTCTTGGGCAAATATCACGTAAATGAAGGCATTTCTACATGTTATACATTCATAGGTTTTATTTCAGAAATGAGTTCTTTTCTTCATGTGGAACTGTAACAGCTGAAGACCTTACCACGTTTGTATTTATAAGGGTTTTACTCCATTGAATCCTTTCAAGTTTTTAAAGAAATGAAAAAGCTGAAGGCTTTACTATGTTTCTTAAGATGGTGTTGTTTTTCTCCATATTATATTTGAGTATGCCTTTGAAAGCACGTGGGAAAATCAAGTTTATTAACATGTTTTTTACATTCAAGTTTCTTTTCCAGTACAAGTTATTTCTGAGTTTTCAAGGAGAGCTGGGAAAGTTGCATGCTTGCTTCTATTTCTTCGATCAATAGGGTTCTGTCCCTTGTGAGTTCTTTTCATGCATTCTAATAAACTAGAGCACATGATGGCTTTACCACATTTCTTACATGAGAATAATGTTTTTGAAGATAGCCCGGTGACCTAACATGGTCCTGTGTTGGTTTTGTCGTGTTTCTCCTTCCCCAGGAACGAGTTGGAAAGGCACTTCGTGGAGCTAATTGATTTTAATATCAGTGTTCCTGGCAGCATTCATGGCAGATACTACTTCGATCTTCGTGCCTTGGCACATGAGCATGGCCTGTATTTGCCAGTTTACCTCCTTCAGAGAGAAAGAGCATGGAAGCTAGGGGTAAGGCTATGAAGTTACTAAGTATGTTTTGAGTCAAACACCAATGCCAACATCTAAGACCAGGTCGTATTAAGTAGTGATTAGAAAAACGGAAAGCTTCAAAAATAACTAACATACTGAAGAGCTTATTAACCTTTTGGCATTCTATTTCCTGTATCTTTTATGGTTTTTACAAGGATGCACGTTATTTGGAAATTATAGATATGATCTCTTTTATGACCATAATTCAGAATGTTTGAACCTTTGCCCTTGCAAATAATCATACATAAATGATTTCTTGCCATTGTATTTCTAGTGATGTCAATATATATAATGCACTCACCACTCTTGACTACTTTTTACTGCTCAGTTTGCAAATTTCTGTCATTTTCTACTTGGTATACCACAGTGCGGTCAGTCCCATGGGTGTGTTAGACAAACCATTAGTGCCTAAGCCGAGAGACCTGCACTTAGACTGTATGAGGTGTGCGTGTCTCAAGTACCGGCTTCAGGAAGTATGTGGGATTTTACTGGAAATGGTAACTTTTATGGGACAAAGTAGTATATATGGTTTGTGACTTTTGGTAAGTACACAGGAAAATTACTCACAGCTGAAAAGGATGAACCTTTAAAATAGGCATGTTCTATGGCACCTTGAAAGTATTTTAAAATAATACATTTTTCTACCATAATTAGTGCAAGTCAAGTAGTGCCTTTTGATGCTTTAGTCATTAGACTTTGTTGACATTCCAATACAATCCAGCCCATGACTGCCTCATTAAAATTTGCTTTGAGTATATAGTAACTACTGTAGATTGGGTAGAATTTGAATAGATTAATAAACTAACTTTTTGCAAAAGTGTGTGTTCATTATGTTTAAGGAACAAGTGCACAGGTAACAGATACTATTCTTAGAAGCAGATCACAATACTGTGACATTTTTGAGAGCCCAATTTTTAAATAACTTAATAAAACAAGCTCTCCTTTGCTCCAGCAATCTAATTCTAGCCCTGAAAGGAGATTACCTTAGTGAGCTGCCAGAAGTTGTCAGTGTAAACCTCAGCCAAAGTAGCTGTAGCTAAATTATCTAAAGGAGTCTGCATGTGTGGCTTCTCATCAGTGGTGATTGTTAAAAGGTTGGAACCCTTTTTAAAGCTGTACCTCTTTTCTATTTGACATTCTTAGGGTTTTTCAAGGATGGAACAAGACAAAGTCTTCTATACTACTGACAAAATTGGGTCTTTCAGTGTTGATGATTTAATTCGTCTTCAGCACGCTAAGGCCATCCTTTTCTGAATGAAGAAATGAGGGGTAATGTAACATCTGAACCCCTCATCAAAAAAGACAGGAACATACCACCTCTCCTGCCAAAGAACTAGAAAACTTTGTATTTTCAAAAGAAGAAACACCTCAATTCAAGTGAACTCAAGGACAACTAAGATTGTACTTCCTAGTAAAGAATGGGACCTTGTCAGGGCAACAACACACTCTTACCCTCTTCTGTCCCTTTTAATGTAAACTGTGTTTTAGAAACCATTCCAAAGTGAAGGCCCCTTCTGCCCACAGAAGAAAAGAAAAAGCAATGGGACTTCATGTCGTTACCAACTGTATGTATAGTATGTACATTTTGGGGCTTCGTATCTACAGAATAGATAAAATGTAGATGAGAGATTTAGTGACTTGATGTGAGTTTGGTGCAGGTGCATTTGTCACTGAGCCAGATGAGGCTCATACTAAGTCAGTAGTTCAAATGCAGGCATTCAATACTCTTTATGATGATGTCCATATATGTATAGTACCTATCCCATGCAGTGGAGGTACTGTCCTGTTAAATCCAGAACTTACATATCTGAGCCAGTGGTATTTTATTTGTAGACAATTAACTTGAATCTTTACATTATTGCCGGTAGGTGATTATAAATCTGCTTTACCTTTATCTAAAAAGCTAAATCTTTGTGGCCTTAAGATTTTCTTTCTCCAACCCATTTCCATTTCTTGGAGACACACTGCTGGCAGCCAAATTGAATGCTTATATTTAGGGGAAAGACAGAAATAATTCCGACCATCTGGTTTTTTTCAGAATTGCAAAGGGAGAAAAACTCCCCAAAGATAATGAAAATTTATTCCCTAGCAAGATTGTGCAAGGCCCTGCAAAGTAAAACGCCCTCAGGCACACCTGGGGGCACAGTGCAGTCTCTCAAGAAGGTGGTTATTGAGTACTTCCGTGAGCAGAATAGGAGTGGGAGGATCCCCATAGTAGGATGTCCTGACTTACACTAGAGTCAGGCGTATTATTCCAGCCAGGAGTGTCACTCTTGGGTGTGTCATCTTGAAAAGATTTATTTTCTTATTTCAACTTGTGTTTTTATTAAGTATACAATGAATTTTATTGATAAAGCTTGGAAGATGGGAAAATATTATCAAAAAAACATAAAAATGTGACTATCAGAAAAAAATCTACTCATATATTTAATCTGTTAAAAATTCTTATTTTTAGGGCCGGGCATGGTGGCTCATGCCTGTAATCCTGGCACTTTAGGAGGCCGAGGTGGGTGGATCACAGGGTCAGGAGATAAGAGACCATCCTGGCTAATACAGTGAAACCGGTCTCTACTAAATATACCAAAAAAAAAAAAAAAAAAAAAAAAAAAAAAAATTATTAGTTTTATTTGTTCTTCTCCTAAAAATGTGTAATAAGTACCTGAGGTCAATATTTTTTGTGGATGATTTCAAGCAGAATCTCAGGGCTTAGTTTCAGGAATATTACTGGGTGAGATTTTTCTTTGTAGCTACAGAGAAATAAATTCATTTCCACAAGAAATTGTGGTAGACAAATTACTGATTTACGAAAAGAAAATTAGTTCCTCTTTTCTGTATGGTGGAGTATTTGTGATAGTGGAAAAATCTATTCTGTATCCTGTTATCTGCATGTCTGAGTTTAATTTTAAATTCTCTGAGATAAAACTCAACATTCCTGGAAGTGTTAATATATGATTACTTAATAAATTATTTGTCATTATGGAAATAATAGCTAAATGACATGTTTATTGTCTGATGGATGTTTTGGCTTTTCTTGAAGTATAAAATTTAAGTACCTTACATTTTCCTTTACTCCTGTAAACATAAGCAGTGAGTTTGATCAATTTTGCTGGAACTCCGCCACCTCCTGGGTTCAAGTGATTCTCCTGCCTCACCTTCCTGAGTAGCTGGGATTCCAGGCATGTGCCACCATGCCCAGCTAATTTTGTATATTTAGTAGAGATGAGGTTTCTCCATGTTGGTCAGACTGGTCTCGAACTTCTTACCTCAGGTGATCCGCAGGCCTCAGCCTCCCCAAGTGCTGGGATTACAGGTGCGAGCCACTGTGCCCTGCCAAACACTGAGGTTTTCTTTTGTTTTGTTTTTAACTTAAAATCAAATGAATAACCTTGACTGGAAATCAGAGACCTGAGCCTGTAGACTGCAGCCTAAGGCCAAACTTGACCTGTCAAAGGAGTTCATGAATAGCACAGTCATTTCTTCCTGGGGAGCCTCCCCTGCAGGTGTCCCAGCATGCTCACAGCCGCCATAGAAGGACCTTTATACTGAGGGGAGCTACAGAGCCTTGAAAGCTGAGAATGAACAGGCAGACATGGTGAGAATTGAGATGGGAGGCAGGTTGTGATGTCCTCTGTGAGGGTGTAATTCTTATTGTCCTGAGGCTGTTTCTAGATACTGCCAAATAAATGCAGATGTGGATAAGAAGTTTATTTTAAAGGAGTATTGCAATGGGGAAAGCACCAAGCATCAGATCTGCAAGCATCTCACAAGAGGCAGAAAAGGGCTGTGTTTCATATGGAGGAGCAAACAAGATTAGAAGGAAGGTGGCAGGAAGAGAGGAGAATGGAGAGGGAGGTCAAAAGCCCAACTGGTAAAAAAGCCTTGACCCTTTGGCCAGCTTGTTGAGCCTCTGGGTTCCCTTCGCCTGAGCCCAATCCTAAGCCAATCAGTTTAAGGTTTGGGAAATTAACTTTTCTCAGTTTGGAGGATGCATCTGAGGAAAGTGTCCCAAAACTGGTAAAAGGCCTTGGGACTTCTGAGCTGTCCTTATCCCTCCCCTTGTTTTGATTTATTTGGATTTGATTTGTTTTGAGACAGGGGTTATAGTCTTGTTGCCCAGGCTGGAGTGCAAAGCTGAAATGAAGGAAAAAATGTTGGCCGGGCGCAGTGGCTCAAGCCTGTAATCCCAGCACTTCAGGAGGCCGAGGCGGGTGGATCACGAGGTCAAGAGATCGAGACCATCCTGGTCAACATGGTGAAACCCCGTCTCCACGAAAAATACAAAAAATTAGCTGGGCATGGTGGCATGTGCCTATAATCCCAGCTACTCAGGAGGCTGAGACAGGAGAATTGCCTGAATCCAGGAGGCGGAGGTTGCGGTGAGCCGAGATCGCGCCATTGCACTCCAGCCTGGGTAACAAGAGCGAAACTCCGTCTCAAAAAAAAAAAAAAAAAAAAAAATGTTAAGGGCAGCCAGAGAGAAAGGTCGGGTTACTCACAAAGGGATGCCCATCAGACTAACAGCAGATTTCTTGGGAGAAACCCTATAAGCAGAGTGGGGGCCAATATTCAACATTGTTAAAGAAAAGAATTTTCAACCCAGAATTTTATATACAGCCAACTAAGCCTCATAAGCAAAGGAGAAATAAAATTCTTTACTGAGAAGCAAATGCTGGGAGATTTTGTCACCACCAGATCTGCCTTACAAGAGCTCCTGAAGGAAGCAGTATACATGGAAAGGAACAGCTGGTACCAGCCGCTGCAAAACCATACCAGATTGTAAAGACCATTGACACTATGAAGAAACTGCATCAATTAATGGGCAAAATAACCAGCTAGCATCATAATGACAGGATCAAATCCACACATAACAATATTAACCTTAAATATAAATGGGCTAAATGCCTCAATTAAAAAACACAGACTGACTAATTGAATAAAGACCCATCAGTGTACTGTATTCAGGAGACCTATCTTGTGTGCAGACACACATAGGCTCAAAATAAAGGCATGGAGGAAGATCTACCAAGCAAATGGAAACCAAAAAAAAGCAGGGGTTACCATCCTAGTCACTGATAAAACAGACTTTAAACCAGCAAAGATCAAAAGAAACAAAGAGGGCATTACATAACGGTAAATGGATCAATGCAACAAGAAGACCTAACTATCCTAAATATATATGCACCCAATACAGGAGCACTCAGATTCATAAAGCCAGTCCTTAGAGACCTATAAAGAGATTGAGACTTCCACACAATAATTGTGGGAGACTTTAACACCCCACTGTCAATATTAGATCAATGAGACAGGAAAATTAACAAGGATATTCAGGACTTGAACTCAGCTCTGGACCAGGTGGATGTAATATACATCTACGGAACTCTCCACCCCAGATCAACAGAACGTACGTTCTCAACACCACATCACACTTAGCCTAAAATTGACCACATAATTGGAAAAAAAAAGCACTCCTCAGCAAATGCAAAAGAAGGAAATGATAACAATCTCTCAGACCACAGTGCAATCAAATTAGAACTCAGGATTAGAAACGCACTCAAATCCACACAACTACATGGAAACTGAACAACTTGCTACTGAATGACTACTGGGTAAATAACCAAATGAAGGCAGAAATAAAGATGTTATTTGACACCAATGAGAACAAAGACCAGAATCTCTTGGACACATTTAAAGCAGTGTGTAGAGGGAAATTTATAGCACTAAATGCTCAACAGAGAAAGCAGGAAAGATAGAAAATCAACACCTTAATGTCACAATTAAGAGAACTAGAGAAGCAAGGGCAAACAAATTCAAGAGCTAGCAGAAGACAAGAAATAACTAAGATCAGAGCAGAACTGAAGGAGATAGAGGCATGAAAAACCGTTCAAAAAAAAAAAATCAATGTCCAGGAGCTTGTTTTTTGAAAAGATCAACAAAATAGATAGATCGCTAGCCAGACTAATGAGGAAGAAAAGAGAGAAAAATTAAATAGACACAATAAAAAATGATAAAGGGGATATCACCACCAATACCACAGAAATACAAACTACCACCAGAAAATACTATAAATACCTCTACATAAACTAGAAAATCTAGAAGAAATGGATAAATTCCTTGACACATAACATCCTCCCAAGAGTAAACCAGGAAAAAGTCAAATCCCTGAATAGACCAATAACAAGTTCTGAAATAGAGGCAGTAATTCATAGCGTACCAACCAAAAAAAGTCCAGGACCAGATAGATTCACAACTGAATT